AACATCCGTTGGGTATGAACTTAGAACTTTGACAGGGTATGATTTGCGTATATCATGGAGACATACGTCTGCTTAATTTTATGAATATCATCCATCAACAACTACTAATTCATCAATTTAGTCCTTTCATTTTTTATTTTTCATCTTTTTGCCCAACATACTAGGACTAAGATAGTAAGATCCGTATGTAGTCCGTTGAGAGAGGGATGTTGATATTCTTGATATAGTAAATATCTAAGAAAGATATTACAGTTGTTAAAAGAACATAATACCACTTTCTATTTAGTTATGCTTTTAAAGAAATCATTAATAATAAGTGCAATGGTAAGTGTATAAATGTACTATTAAAATTCATGACAATTGACTAAGGTGCTGTTTGTTTTTTCAGATGCAAAATGTCTGCAGTCTGCGGACCATGTCTGCAAACATATGCAGCAGAAGAGGTGGACCAAACATCTGCAGTCTGCAAGTAGAAGACTGTTTGTTTTTTAACGTCTGCAGTCTATTAAAATAAGAAATTTTAATAAACCGATTTTTTAAACTTAAAAATGTTTTTAAACATGAAAATTTTAATAATTTTAATTTTATAACACTAAAATATAAATCATACAACCATAGATATTTTTAAAAAAATCATACAACATTGAAAAATAAATCAAACCTCTAAAATCTTATTGACATCACGTGAAAACAAAATTGCAACACATGACTCATTCATCACACTCTTACTCTAATTTCACATATTATACAAATATTTTTAACTTATAGCCATCTCTATACATGTTATGTGCTATCATTTTTAGAGAAAAAATCCAAGTAATTAACATATCAATGATGAATCATATTTAATGTAACCATATTAAGCCCCAACTCTTTAAAGCATTTCATCAAATGGCTGTCTTGCATCCAAATCAAATAAGAACTTAGTTCAAGGAAATCTTTAGCCTAATGCTTCAAGCCTAATTAATACCAATGAACTACAAAATATTTGAATTACAAGCATTAAAACATCATATATGAATACTATTCCAACAATAATAAAGACTAATTTCAGTTAAAACATAATTTCCAACAACTATATACATTTAACTTCTGTTAACAATGCCATTTTCAGCTAAAATGTGATTTCCAACATATATATACATCTGATTTCAGTTAAAAACGTGATTTTCAGCAACAATAACAACTAATTTCAACCAATTGAACAACATTTTTCATATTTCAGCAAAATATATACATTTTCAGCAAATAAATTTGATTTTTAACAACTACCAACATATAATTTCAGCAAATAATCCAATTTTCAACAAATGCACATATGATCGTGTTTTAGCAAACTAATCTGATTTCACCATATAACATCTGATTTCCAGCAATTACAATAAACCCTAGAAGATAACATCTGATTTTAGGGAAAATGTTCTTACCGGTGAAAGTAGAGATCGAAGACGACGGTGAAGACGTAGTGAGTGACGGCTAACCTGTTTCAGTGGAAAATCCGACGGTGAGATGGTGAAGATCGATGGTGGAGCGGCTGAAGAAAATCGGTGGTGTCGTGTTGAGAGGCTGAAGAGGTAGCGATGGATGTCGGCGGCGGCAGTGGACGTCGACGATGACCGAAGACGACAACTGGGTGGATGGTGAAGGCACTGGCAGCGAGAGGAGGAGGATGACAGGTGAAGGGCGGGGGGTTGAAGGCTGAGAACGAAAGAGGCGATGATATGTCTAAAGCAATAAAGGGAGTTTTTTTTAGGTTTTAATAAAGTATGCAGACCTTGGAAGACTCAAGCCCAAGTCTGTACCATGAAGACCTCGCGCAAATGTTTCTATGTCTACGGACTTCTGAAAATCAAACAAGCTGCAAACCCTTATGTCTGCGCGTGGTCTGCGGGGCGCAGACAAACAAGGTTATGCAGATCTGCAAACAAAAAACAAACACCCCCTAAATATGTTCGCCTATATATCAAGTTATTAAAACCTTGGTTCTAAAAAGCACGTTATGGCGTGCCTCAAGGTTTGTCATGGCACGAGGCATGATGTAACCGTTATGAAAACGTCTAAAACGGGTTTGTTAAGTGTGGCGCCCAAATACCGTGTCAATGCGCGCTTTATCGCGTTATGACGTGAGTTTTTTTCAAGGCGCGAGTTTTTTTGTTTTTTCTAATCGAGCTTAAAATAATTGAGTTTTGTTAATTTTTTTATATTAAATATTAATATAACACTTCTAAAAACTTGATATATTTGATAAAATTCATTAATTATATGATTTTTTTAATGTATATAAAATAATCATGTTTTGAAAAATGTCATGGTTCGCCAAGGCTCGCTATAACTTAACCTTAACATTACCGTCAAATCACGTCTCACGTTATTTAGAACCTTAATTACAACTTGTCATTAAGAAATAGTCTAGGGATTAAATTTCCAATTTTATAAAACTTAATAAAGTATTAATTAATTCTTTCTTTAATGGTAGAAAATATTCTAAAAATCTACATTTTGAATATAATAGTTATCCCAAAGACGGGAAGTCTCAAAGCTGGATTATGTAGAAGAACGAGATGAGTTTTAATTATTTATTCACCCACATTTTACAGAAAATCTTAAATTAATATAATATTTTGAATTTTGAATTTTTAGATTAGTTGTTATATTGTTCTTAAATAATTTCAAGAGTTGCAATATGCAATTATGCAATAACTTATAAGTATAAGTTTTTAGCCCAACTGAATCAAATGTTATCCTTCTTTCTAAGGACTGAGTTATTGAAAAACTAAATTTTATCTTATAAACTAGTTTATTAATGTGTTTGACACTTTACAACTATTTATTTTTTTTTTGAGCTTTTTATAATGTTGTTACTTTTTCAAATTAAAAAGGAACTTGTAAGTGAACTTATGAAATATTTTTTTAAACCCTACTTAGAGTAGCATTTCAATACGTTTATTGAGTTTTTTTTAGAACTTCCAAATATATTCTTTATTAATTATAAAAACTCATTATTCTATATGTTTTTAATTGTATGTTATTTTCATATTTCAACAACCTTATCAGTTAGATTTGAAAAACATCATTTTTTTTATCACTTAACAGCTAGCTTATTATTTATTAGTTGACTATTCAACTATAAGTTAGCCTGTTAAACTAATCATCTCAAGCATTTTATCAAAAGCTAGTTTATAAAGCTACTTTATAAATTAATATAAGTTACTTTTGTAGTCTCACAAAATATTAATTTGCAATAAGCATAAAAAAATAAGTTTACTTATAACCTGGTCTATGCACACCAAACACAACCAAAATTGGATCATTTTTTAAGATTTTATAAAGAAAATGACGTTTAGAATTGCAAGATAGTTCCACGATGTACCTTTCTCGATGAGGTAACCTTACTAGGTCTTTTGCGTTTTTATTGATCACAAATGGTTTGCGGTGAACATTACTTTTCGTGGGTTATAACCTTATAAATTATGACTTTATGGAACACAAATTCACAAGTAATTTTCACAAACTTTATGACATCTTACCTTTTTGTTTTCCTTCCGTTATGTCATGTAACAATACGTCTTTATCGGCTAACTTTATTCAAAATCCAACAAATCGATTTGAGAATTTAAATCAACCATTGTATAACACTAAATTCGAGTATTAGCATCATTGGGATGTGATTAATCCATTAAAGATCATAATTGTATGAAGTTTTATCCATTTTTTATTTGATTTCGTAGTTCTACGAAAATGAGAAAGAAATCATTGATTTCAATGAGAATTTTGGGGATTTGGTTTGTTATCAAGTTTGAACAATGGTTTCAGTATCCCCTTATTGTCTTTGATGGTTTCGAGTATATAACCTTATGTGGAAATTGTTTTTTGGTGCTTAAAGACTCCAAGCACTTGAGAAAAAATCGTTGTTATCAATAAACATACATCAACAACGAAATGTGTATGAGACTTTTCCAAGTCGTACGACCGTTGTGAATCAAATGGATTGAGAACCTTTGTGATTCAACCTCTATATATGGTTGGCCATCATGTAAGGAGAAAAAAAAATATGTGGCAATTGTCCCGTAGATCTTGTATGACCTTGGATACATGAGGAGCATCATGTACACCCTTCGATACAACCTTATGAATAGGTATGAAGACGTTCTAAACCGGTACTGAAATGATATTATACAATATGATTCCTAGTTTCCATGTTTATAAGTTTTTTTGTTTTGATTTGCTACTGGTATCTCCTTGTAATATTGTGATTAGATTTTGAACTAGCTATTTTGCTCATAAACAATATCAATTGAAATACAATTACATATAACGATATTTCATCATCTGACTAGTTTGTAAAATGTTTTAATCCCAGAATAAGTTTATGGTTACACAATTTTTGAAAACTTATTTGTCTTATAAATAAGTTTTCAAAAATTACATAATGATAAATCGTCTATAATCAATAAAAGATAAATCTTATAAATTACATAATGATGGTTATAAATTACACAACTGGAACTGGTTGTTAATACACGATCCTAAAAAGCTTACGCATATAAAAAGCATGAACAACCGTTCACGTTCACGTTTTCATTTTGTCGTTATAATTATTAAATGGTAATTTTATGATTATGATGAAATATTATCTTATGTTCACAAATCCCTTGCGTAATTAAACTGCAAATACAAAATAATTATTATATACACCGCAGAAACAAGTCAGCAGGCCCACAAAAATCTAACGGTCGAGAATTACGGTGGGGTTAAGGCCATCAATCACACACGATAACTGCACCCACCTTACCACGTAGATAGTCTCGTTATACAGTACATTGCTGAGTTGTCAAATAGCGGTTGGAAAAAATTTAGTGGGTCCCCTATCAATTTACACTGTTTCTGAGCTGGCATTTAAAATAAATAAAAAAAAATAAAAAAATGAATAAACGACAGACTGTTTCAAACCCCAAACTGCCCTCACGTCGATTTTAAAGCCCCCCGAAACCCCAACTCCTTACCCACACTCCCACCTTCACCTTCATTTTCACCAGTCTCAAAATCATCAAAACCTCCATTTTCCAGATATTTTTAATCGAATTAGTTGTTGTTATACATGGCGGAAGAGACTTTGAAGACGGCGGCGGCAGCATCGGAGGCTCCGGTAGCGGCTGCTGAAGTTGCTGTTGTTCCAGAGGCGGAGAAGGCTGAAGCGACTGTCGTTTGTGAGAAAGATGGGCCACCGGAACCTGAGGCTGCGGTCGAGGAGCCTGTGAAAGTTGTAGAAGAGGAGAAGGAGAAGATTACTGAATCGGCTTCGTTCAAGGAGGAATCTAATGTTGCCGGTGAGCTTCCTGATCCACAGAAGAAGGCGTTGGATGAACTGAAACAGTTGGTTCAGGAGGCGCTTAACAAGCATGAGTTTACCGCTCCTCCGGCACCTGTTAAGGAGGAGAAGCCGGCAGAGGAGAAAGCTGCGAAGGCCGTTGAAGAAGAAGGTAAGGCTTGTGATGAGACGGCTGCGAAGGATGAATCTACACCAGAGCTGGAGACGGTTGTGGTTGAGAGTAAGGAAGAGAAGGCCGTTCCACCGACCGCGGAGGCATCGGAATCTGCGGCCGAGTGCAAAGAAGAAGAGAAGACCACCCCGGCTCCACCAGCACCAGCAGCCGAGGTACCGGAACCGGTGAAGGAGGTGACTGAAGTAGTCGAGAAAGTTGAAACCTGCGTAGACGAAGACGGAGCGAAGAAGATCGAAGCGATTCAGGAAACAATTGTGGCAGTCGCGACTTCTTCTGAGCCACCAAAGACTGAAGAAACCGAGCAGGTAGCACCACCAGAGACGGCGACTGAAGAGACCCCTGCCGCCCCTCCTCCACCACCGGAAGAGGTCTCCATCTGGGGAATCCCCTTACTCGCCGACGAGCGCAGCGACGTCGTTCTATTGAAATTCCTCCGAGCAAGAGACTTCAAGGTGAAAGAGGCCTTGACCATGCTAAAAAACGTGGTGGCTTGGAGAAAGGAGTTCGGCATCGAATCATTGCTGGAGGAAGATCTGGGAACAGAGCAAGAAAAAGTGGTTTACATGCATGGGGTCGACAAAGAAGGCCACCCAGTCTGCTACAACGCATACGGCGAGTACCAGAACAAGGAACTATATAACGCCACCTTCTCCGATGAAGAAAAACGCACCAAGTTCCTCCGATGGAGGATTCAATTCCTGGAAAAGAGCATCAGGAAGCTCGATTTCAGCCCAGATGGAATTTGCACAATTGTTCAAGTCAACGATCTCAAAAATTCTCCCGGACCTTTCAAGAGAGAGCTCCGTCAAGCCACCAATCAAGCCCTTCAATTGCTCCAAGACAATTATCCTGAATTCGTCGCTAGACAGGTATATCCTTAAATCAATTCAATTCAATTATTCAAAGTTTTTTTTTATGGCGTCTGCCCAGCAGGTGTTTGATTGAATGTTTTTTTTTATTTGAAGGTATTCATCAACGTTCCATGGTGGTACCTTGCTTTCTACAAAATGATCAATCCTTTCTTCACTCAAAGAACCAAGAGCAAGTTTGTCTTCGCTGGCCCTTCAAAAACCGCTGAAACCCTCTTCAAGTATGTTCTTAATCCTTTAATCCTAATCTCTTCTTTCAGACGTTCAATACTGCTTAATTACTTATTATTCTGTTTCTATAAATCTCAGATACATCGCACCTGAGCTTGTTCCAGTCCAATACGGCGGACTTAGCCGGGAAGGCGAACAAGAATTCACCTCTTCCGACACAGTCACAGAAGAAATCATCAAACCTGCAACCAAACACACAATCGAATTCCCTGCTCCTGAGGTACTTACTCCTTGTGTGATTTCAATCATGTCAGATTTTATGAATTATTGAGATTTTAAAAGATTCCTGTTAAAAATTCACAGACTTGCACATTCGTATGGGAGGCCAGAGTGGTCGGCTATGAAGTGACATACGGAGCCGAGTACGTGCCTGCGGCGGAAGACGGGTACACAGTCATCATTCAAAAGTCGAGAAAAATTACAGCCACCGCCGACGAGCCGGTGATCTGTGGCAGCTTCAAATGCGGTGAACCGGGGAAAGTGGTGCTCACGTTCGACAACCAGACGTCGAAGAAGAAGAAGGTCTTGTACAGGAGCAAGACAAAAGTGAGCTCTGATTAAGCTCTGTTTGTGTCCATCACATCACCATCAATACTGAACAAGAACCAGGGGCTGTTTGTGAAATTACCAAAATAGGTTTTTCTTCATTTTTGGTGGGGTATTATATTATTATTAAATTTTTTATTCATGGATTTATATTTATCTTGGAATCTTTTTACATGGGATTCTTTTTGGGGATTTGTCTATTTGGGGTTTGAACTTTGAATTGCTTTACTTATTACAAATACTATGTTGCATTGTTGGACCTTTGGACCAAGAAAAGTAAAGTAAAAATTTGAAAATTTTATACAAAATATATATAGAAGTGGATTTGTGGGCAGATGCTTTTGTCTTTTGCCTCCTAAATGTCTCTTTTGTTGATTTATTTATTTTTTATTCGTTAAAGTTGTTTGTTGTTGAGTTTCTTTGAATTCTTTGGCAGCATGAGCTGGAAAATCTTCCAACTTTATCTTTCCCAGCCTTAATGTCATCATTTGATCACAACTAAGATATTATTATTATTATATTCGCTGAATATAATTTAAATAAACTCATGGTTCTTTGTAGGTGTAAATGCTATAACCATTTGATCAAGTAAGATATTATTATTATTATTATTATTATTCACGTCATTCCTTTATTCATTCGTTTACGAATGCGTGTGTGGCTAAAGTGAATTGCAAGCGGGTGTGAAATAGAAGACACGATGAGAGAAAATGAAAACAAAACAATTAAACATAAAAGCTTAATGATTTGAGCGATGAATTTATGAGGGTTGTATACAACTTTTAAGGATTTAATAGATGACTTCTAGAACATTAGCGAATTCAATTTGAGAAACTATATTGCAAGGTGATAAATGATAATCCGCACAAGATGTCTCACGTTCATGTGGAGGCGGGAGTGAATAATATCGATTAAAAATACCCAAATCAAAATTTATAAATAAAATTTAGGAATGTAATTTCTCATTTTCAAAACGTCGACTAGATCCGTAGGGGGAATTGAAAAACAATAATTCAATTCCGAAAAGATCAAATTCAATTAGAGACTATAAACTTCCCACATAAAGAAAATCACAAACAACAACACACATACCCGCAAAATCTTGCACATATATACCTATATACAGGGGTGAGTGAGGGTGAAGAACATGTGCATTGTACCTTCCAAGATTCATCTAGTTAGAAAGTAGATTCCTTGACACATCAATATAATCTTCATGAGATGGTTAGATGATAAGTTAACCCGAATAGGCTTAGAACAAATTGGTTCAAGTTAACAACTTGGCAACATGTCAATTACAAGTCAGATTATATAATCTGACATAACCAAAAAACTAACAAAAGCCGATGATCGGTCCAAATTGCTAATGAGACGGTTTGTCCAAATTTACAAGGGTCAGTCTGACAATTGTCAGTTTATTGCATTTTTATTCATCATCAAATCTAGCTAACAAATTAAGATTAACAAACACCTCTTATTTGACCGAAACACATGGCATGGGCTTGTTGAAATAGTATTTTAAAAAACATTTCAAAGTAAAGGAACTGTGTCACCAAAATACAAAATCTTACATTTTAACCAATTTTAAAACAAATAAGATTATTGTTTAAATAGTATGAGGGATAATCCTACCAGACTCAAACACAAATATCAATATAGTTGTCTGTTATTATTTCTAAGCCAAAATATCCCCGAAGTCTCTTCGCTATTCTTCCTTCCATGAACTGGACTAAATAATCCACTTTGCACTTGAATCACATAAAAAATAATTATGTTACACTATGAAGCTATGAGGTTAGACATGATATAATCATCACAGTTATAAACATACATTACCATGTATATAAAATGTTCAAAATTTATACAATTCACCACAATCACTAAAATGACTATATCACCATATTTGTCCAAGTAAGTACTCACCATATCAGTGCAATTAAGTACTCGCTATATTTAAACAATTAAGTTCTCACCATATTTGAACATTTAGGTTCTCATCATCTTTGAACAATAAAGTTTTCACCATATTTGAACAATAAAGTTTTAACTACAATTCGTAACCCTAGTATATTTCACCATTTTTCCACAAAAAAACCATTTAAGTTATAAAATGTATGTCATCAATGAATATGTACTCAATGAATACTATGTACTCACATTTGCTAGTTTGTTGTCGTACAATGCTTTCCAAACATCTAGAAGGTCAATGAACGCCTACAATTGCTAATTGAGTGTAATACCAAAATGAATTCATCACAAATTATTAAATGAGTTTTTATCAGAAAAATCTCAAACTTTTGGAAAAAGTTTCAAAAAACCTTATTTTTTTATTTTGAATAAAAAAGCCTAGAAAACTAGGTAATTTAAACAATTTAGCCATCACTGGCCTTTTCAATAGGTCACCTACTAAGGTGGACTGTCAAAGTGGATCTATAGTGTGTGTGGCAGCTGACGTGACATCTTAAGTTGAAAACAAAATAATTCGTCCAAAGGAAGAAAATGAGTGGAAAAAGGATCTAACTCCCGACCTCCGGTGACTCGCACATGCGCCCTTACCGCTAGGCTGTAGATGTTTTCATGAAATAATGGTTGATTTCACTTATATACCGCTAATAGCCCTGAACAATAAATGAGAAAAATGAAGACGAGTAGACTCGAACTCAAAACATCAAACATGTAAACCAAACACCTTGATGTTTGATTAGGTGTCTAAGCTCATAACTATAATTGATATAAGTTTGAATTGATAGTAGCACAATCCTTTTAGGTTGCCCTCAAACCTAGCAATTGGACTGGATATTTTGGAGAGAGAGGTTGATTTATTATTTGATTAATAAATTGAAATAAATAATTTGTTAATATATTATGAAAATAATATATAAATTAGAATAATAACAATTAATTAATATTTAATTAGAAATTAATTGAAATTAATTTTGTGATTAAAAAAATTAATTAAAAGTGCGGAGATTAAAATGTGATTGTTCAATAATTGAACAAGAGGTATTATAGAACCTCCTTGAAGCCTTAGACGATTTTGAGGAGACTTTAGGGTTTCTAGAATTATCCGTGGTGGATAATTAGGAAGTTGGATAATTACCTAATTCAAGATAATATTATTATATTAGGTTTGAGTTTATCTAGGGTTTCCTTTCTGCACTATATAAAAAGGGCTAACCCCTAGCAATTTCGACACTCATTATTAATAGAATTTTTTGTAGTTTGATAGTTCATAGTATGTTGCCTTTATGTAAAAGACATAGATCCTTCTTAGGTTGCATGTGCCTTAATCATTTGATTGTTAAATGTTTTTCAGCTTAGTCCATTGTTTTTGTAACCTCCATAACCCATCACTTAACCACCAAGCTAGTAAACTCGAATAATAATTTTAATTATAATATTAAGATTTATTGGTATTATTAATATTATTATTGTTCTTATTATTATTAAAACTAAATAAGTAAATTATTTTTTGAATTCAGTTTTATGAATATTCTTATATAAATACATTTTAAATGTATTTATTCATATTTTTCATAATACTCGCTATATTAATATTATTAAAACAAATACATAAAAATAGTATAAATACATTTATATACTTATATAATTTTTATAATTATTATGAAAAATACATATAAAAACTTTATACGTATAAAACTAATTTATATGATTTTATATGTATTTTTTAAAATAATATTAATAATAACGAATATTGTGAAAAAATATGTATAAATATGTTTAATTGAAAAAAACTTTAATAATATATTTTAAGGTATAAAAACATATAAAAAATGTTTTCTACGTGTATGTATCATATTTATACGTTTTTATATATAAATATGTTTTTATACGCATAAATACATACTTAAAATGTATTTATATATGAAATTATTATTCGAGTTACGCATTATATAAAGAAAAGCAAAGGAAGGGAAATCAAGTGGTTCCTAGTTTGATGGTTAAGGTGTTTGGTTCTCAAGTTGGAGGTTTGAGTTCGAATCTTTCGATTATCCTTTTTCTCATTTATTGTTGAGTGCTATTAGTGTTATACAAACGAAATCATCCATTATTTAACAAAAATGCCTACAGTCTATTGGTAAGGACACATGAGTCATTGTCACGTTAGGTTCGATCCTTGTTTCGCTCATTTTCTTCTTTTTAATGTTTTCTTTTATTTTCACTTAAGATGTTGATGTGGCATGCCACGTTAGCTGCCACATACACCATAGATCCACTTTGGCAGTCCATCTCAGTAGGTGACCTGCTGAAAAGGTCACTGAGGGTTAAATTGTTTAAATTACCCGGTTTTTTTGATTTTTTTTATTCAAAAAAAATTATGACTTTTTTGAAACTTTTCTCAAAAGTTTGGGAATTTTCTGATAAAAATCCTTACTACGTTATGTCGCTTTTTATTTAATAAGAGAGTGTTTGGAAAAGAAGTTTATTAGCGGTTCCACATCACTATAAGCTAAAAGCCTAAAAAATTGTTTGAATAAAAACAGCTTATAGGGGTGGAAACCGCTAATAAATCATTTTTTTATAAATTACCTTACTCTAACTTATTAGCTTATAAGTTAATAAGATAATAAGTTATAAGCTAATAAGCAATAAGTTTTTATATCCAAAAACCCCCGTCTAAGTCCCAAACCACTCTTATTCACTCCCGTATATGTCTACATAACCAATTAGTAGCATCTAAACGTCCAACTAATTCATTTTGAAAATTTTATATAAGGTCTAATAGTGTTTTACATTTTTTTAGAACATCAAACACACACACACACACTCCCGATAAATACTACTCCTAAAATACTTCTTTTGTCTCCAACGAGACTTAAACCTCAACATATGATTGAGGGGCACCTATCCACCAACATATGATACCGCTAGGCTACAAGCCTATAATGTTTTACATGATCGTGTAAAATAGCACTAGGGACTCACATGAACGTATAACACCCATATATTGCATATATAAACAGAAAACCCTCAAACAAGTGAACAACCCATACTATCATCCAAATCGATCTAACTATAGGGAAATGACTTTTAATGATATATGATTGATATGTTATTTTAAAACAATGTTTAACATGTAATTCATTCCCTAACAACAATAGAATTCTAATTAACCCATGTAGGATGTAATAAAGAGACAATGACAAATCTAAGCCAATTTTCCTAATTACTTTTCATTTAATAGCCAAATTTTTTAACTAGCTAAAAATGGCCAAGGAAATCATTGATATTAAAAAAATGATAATAAAAGAAAGAAAAACACCTATTGTTTCATGGATAGTCTACGGTTCGGTAGTTACTTTTTTTTTTCAT